CCACGTGACCTGAGGGTTTTTGAACTCGTGTTTTGGAACAATTACTTTGGAGGTTTTGAACTCGGGTTTGGTTGATTGACGAACGTGATTTGGACTTAGGTCGCTGGACTTTTCCTATTAGGCTGTATTTGGTCTTTCTTTGGGGTTTTTGCTTTATAGGCTGGGTACCTRACTTCTATTAGGACTAGATTAGTTTGAAGTATTTCCAGCGTCCCGGTACTTTCTAGGCGTAGTCTCTGCTTTGTTGATWGTCGTCCCRTGCGATATAACCAGCTCGCGTGAAACTTTCAAACCCGACTTTCAGACCCCTGACGAGTCGTGGTGGACGGCCACGCGAAACTTTGTTGATAGTCGTCCCGTGCGATATAAGCAGCTCGCGTGAAACTTTCAAACCCGACTTTCAGACCCCTGAAGAGTCGTGGTGGGTGGCCACGTGAAACCGGTCGGGTCCTACGGTCGCTTTGTACTTCACGATTTCATAATTCAAGTCACGTTCGGGTTTCGTTGTACAACTTCTTATTTGCATGTCTCCCTTCTTCTACGTCGATCTTCTCTCTCCTTTCCCCCTCTCTCTTTCCTTCCTCATGTTTGCTGATCTATTGGAGTTATTCGGATCTTGCCTGTTCATATTTCAACTCGTGAATTCTGTAATCTGACTTTCACATACGAGGTAACCGGCGTAGAAGTCGTACTATCATTGAGTGGCCTCGAGATCATCATGGCGGCGAACAGCAATAACCAGTACTTCGATAATCGGTCTTGTTACAACTGTGGTCAGAATGGTCACATTTCTCGTTACTGTCCCCTTCCGGATAGGCGTACTAATCTTCCCCTTCCTCTAGCACTGCTTTAGTTCCCGCTCAACCTCTTCTGACTCTTCCGGTCGGCAACACTGGTGGTGCGAATTCGGGAGTTAATTATTCAGGGCAGCAGTCCGGTCAGTACTCCGATCGTGGTTGGCTACGTAACCGTGTGTCTACGCTCGAAGGAATCGTTACGAAGATTAAAGAGAAGCACGACGCGGATGAGGCCAGGGAGCAGGCTTCTTGGTGCGAA